CCTTCCTAGCCACAGTTTTTAGCACGTCAGATTTATTATGGGAAGTAAACAAAGCATCGAGTTATCGTATGCTTTTCACTTCTCCTGCCCCTTTGCGTGCCAGTGGCCAGTCCAAATTGAATCACCTGTTACCGGGACTGAACAAAGCTGATGGAAAGGCGCAAAGCCCCCACCGAACGTGCGTCACACGCTTGTGTGGCTTCCGGTTTCTGACTGGCGCAAAGAAACAGCTCATTAGACGTCTGCCACGAGTCTGAGTGGCCAGTGCTTCGGTCTATCCAAACAACACAGACCGTTTTTGGAAACAATCGAGCGCATATGAATACGCGCATATAGATGCACACCTCGCTAGCTCTGGCGTCGGGATGCGGGCAGTCTAAAAGTGCATCTAACTTTTCTCTTCACCCTACCCCACGCATTGCTCTGTGTATGCCACACAACAACATTATGATCGACCCAAAGACCTGAGCTTGTGCTGCCTCGTCAAACAGAGAAACGCACAGAGATCACTACCCGGCAGAAGACTGTCAATGAATTATCTGATAAAGAATCTACGCCAGCTGATTGACACGGATGATCCCGCACATCCGGGCAAGAAGCGCCTCAAGCTCCAAGGCAAGAACCTCACCAAGGTGCCCATCGAACTGTCCCATTTGACAGATCTAGAGGTCCTCGTAATGAGTCCTGAACGTGAGGCCTGTCTCTTTTACCGACTCTCGGAAATACCGATTTGGATAGGTGGGTCTGCATCGCATGATCATTTGACTCTCAAGTTTCTCTGTATTTTCAGCCTATCAATGCGTCAGAAATGCCTTTAATGCTTTAAATATCGATGGCCCTCTGCATGTTCTTGACTTGCTAATATAAATCAAAGGACACTAAGTAGCAAGCTATTGAAATCTACGAAGGTTGTCCTGTATAAAAGAAACAGATACCAAGTTAGATTGCTATATTTGCAGAAGTATGAACACCTTGTTGGCAGCGTTTACAGGCGGGCAGGCATTTCTATGCTTTTGGGCATGTGGACATTAAAGTGTAATGCTGAATGTTTTATGGCCGTCTTCCGTTAAGCTTGTCGATCAATTGATAAGGATAATTTATATAAGTCCCCCCATAGCCTGGTCTGGTATAGTTTATTATTTCATAGCTATGGGTAGTAACCCTCTGTGTATAAAATACTATATTCAGATTACAACATGCAAAAAGTTGTTTTATTGTGATTTTTGTTATCAAAATTCCGTTTATTTATTGAGCTACATTTTTATTTTTTTGCTACCACTCTCAATTTTTTTGTTATATCCAGACCTAGTATAATAACTTCGGTGGAAATTTATGTATTTTTTTATAGTTCCTTGCACACATTTCGCTGATTTCCTGCGGTAAGGCTCCCCGTCAAGATCCTCATCAGCACTGTTCCATTTTACACGATTCTGGGGTTAGCGGTGGTTAAGGGGGCCTATATAACCTACCGTTGCCGATTATCTCATGCCTTCCCGTGATTTTCTTGGCCCTTCCCAACAGCGGAGCTAGCCCTGGGTTGTGTACCACAAATATGTTTCACAAATCCCGCGTAAACTCAAA